CTTATACCTTTGAACTAGGTAGTTATAAACAAATTATATATTATTGACATGACATTACATGTTAATTTATCACTGCGACAATAACTCATATTATCTTTGACCAAAGATGCTAAGGATAGCAGAAAATAAGCACTTGCAGCTGAACCAAACAAACATTTAAACTCAGAGAAACAATAGAAAGAAAACAACCAACATACGGGTAGAAGCTGATTCTCTTGTTGTGTGGTCTGGGTGTAGTTCCCCCGCGGTTTCTGCACACCTTCACGGCGCAGTAACGGGGCATATCTGCTGAGAAACTGCATGAAAACGCTTCACATAAACACGTTTGTTGCTAACGTTTTTCAAAACACAAACCAGTCCGTGAACAGCCACTTCCGGGATGTAGCACTCAGCGGATATGACGTTTATTCCGTTCTGTCATCAAGATAGTTACCATCTATGATTACAAAAGGTTGCATAACTGAATCAGAAACCCGTTATTACTCCCACAGCGGGGAAAATACAGTTTTACAGCAAAAGTTGAATAAGTAAAACAAAAAGTCATTAGATAATTAAAAAGTAAAGCACACATTAGTAATAAAATAAAAGTACACAAGCATGGCACAAAACACGAGTAGCAGAAGTTTAAGTAAACGTAGTGACATAAATAGCATTATTGTGAGCTTAAAAGTGTTGGGACATGTATAATTACGCCGCAGATAGTGTTTGTATTGCACATCGCAGGTTTATTGCACAAAATATGGAATAAATCAAATGTTACAAGAATGTGTAGGTACACTCATTACATATTTCATACAACAAAACATTTAGAAAGTAAACATATTAACAAAATATGTTTGGGTGTCATTACTTGATTAAAAATGAAAGAATATCACCACAAAGCAAAGCAGGAAGTACGAGCAGATGACCCTCCTCCTTCACTTGTTTTCTTTTCGGACTATCCCCATGTTCCACGTGCGCACTGTGTCCACCAATCACAGTGCACCGAGTCACTTTGTTGAGAAATGGACCAATGGCGTTGCGAGTCGTGGTGTTACGGCTCTGGAATGCGGCTCGTCAACAACCGCTAGCTTTGGTCGCGCATCAGCTGGAGCTGTCCGCGGTTTATAGAAGTATCCTCAGGCTGTTTGTCACCTCTTCTCCAGGTAATCCTTATTTTTCAAGTAAACTTGACCTATTACTAGTCCTGGGTAGTTTACCTGCAACTGAGCATAACTGTGGAGTATTATTAACAAGCGGTTTTATGTCAAAACTGGTTTACATTCCTGTGTTATTCCACAAAAACAGTTTCATGTTCTTGGGAAACAACGCCTTTCTGTTGAAACTAGCTATGTTTTATCGTCATAAAACATGTATTCAGGTTGTTATTTGAAGCTAGTATCTGAACATTAGAGTGTAAAAGTATGTTAAAACTGGGTGACATTACTGTGTTGTTTTACAAAAACAGTTTCATATTCTTGGGAACCCTAGCCTTTCTGTTGAAACTAGCTAGCAAAGTAATGTTATTACGTCATAAACGGTTATAGGTTGTGTAGGTTATGCTGCATGTGTGCTAAAAGGTTTTAACGTCTGGCCTGATGTAACATGTAAGTTTTAAATTGTTATGTGTGCCTTGTTAAAGCACTTTGAGCTGTACCTGGTGTATGAACAATGCTATAAAAATAAAGCTTATTATTAGTAGTGTTATTAAAACCTATATTCAGGTTGGCATAGGAAGCAAGTATGCGAACATTAGCGTTTTAAAGTGTTTCTGAAAGTCTTTCCAGTGTGTGAAATGTGGTTAACCGAGCTGTCAAACTGCTCTCTTCACAGAAAGGTGCCAGAAGCAGCAGTATGGCCACCGCGCAGTGTGTGTTGCTGCTAGCGGTGCACATCCTGCTCATCTCAGAGTTCATCCTGGCCAATGGGGACTACTACGAGATACTGGGGGTGCCGAAAGAAGCCACGGAACGCCAGATCAAGAAGGCCTTCCACAAGCTGGCCCTGAAGTACCATCCGGACAGAAACAGGGGCCCCAACGCAGAGGCCAAGTTCAGGGAGATAGCAGAGGGTAAGCCTCTGTGCCCTTACAGGACTATAGGAAACTACAAAACAGTCAAATTCAAAGTCAACTTTATTGACAATCTTTCAGTTTTTGTGTAGAGACGGAGAGATCAAAATACCGTTTCCCACAATCCCGAATACAATAAAAAAGATATATAAAGTAAACACATGTATACAAATATGTATATACATATATATATATACAATCAACAGACACATTTGTACATATGCACACATTAAGACATAAATAAAAGAACAACAATCAATATATACAAAATAACAGTCACTTCAATAACTTTGAGAAAATTATATCAATGTCATCAACGTTTTTCATATTTCAGGGGTTCTTCTAAAAGAATACCTTCTCTGAAATCCATGAGTCACTCTTAAAAGTGATAATAGCCTGTTATTGTTATTATCATGACGTGACATACTGTATGCTATCATGATGACAGCTGGGTGTTTTCTGGCACACCCTCTCTTCTTTAATGGGCCTTATTAAAGAAAATTAACTAACTAACTAACTAACTAACTAACTAACTAACTACAATAATTCTATTTAGGTGGCCTCAAAAGGAAAACATTGCTCTCATTATTTCCATAATGAATTTATCTCCTGATTATTTTTTAGATAAAATGTCAGAATAGGAGAATGTGCAAAGAAAAAAGAATGACTTAAGAACAATCTGTAAATTAAAAAAATAATAACATCGGAAAAAAATAATGTCGAAAATATGCAAACGACATAGTACATTATATAGAGTTAATTAATGTCACATCAGCAATTTGATTGAGTTGCTGAGTTGAATTAATATACCTATACCTAATTACAAATGTACCAACAACTCAATAAAATAACTATTATAACATTATTACGTTTAGTATGTGGGTAAAAAGAATGTCGAAAATGTGCAAAAAAACGGAATAGTATAGTATCAGAAAAAAGGAACAAATGGCCTTCCTGGTTTCCTAAATTCAAGGTCATGCTTTTAAATGTCTTGTTTTGTAATTCCAAAACCAAGAAGTATTCAGTTTAACATAAATATAATACAAACTAAATATATAAACAGATGAAAAAAGCTACATTTAGAGGCTCAAAATGTTGCTTTTTATGCATGAAAAACAATTGATTGATTACAATAGTTGGCATTTCTTCTTTCTGTTGATCAACTTATATTTTGCAGCAGTACTAGTTTTTAATAAATCTACCTCTATATTGATAAAAATTGAACTTAAAGGGTTAAAACGGTCTGAAACCTAATTAATGCGTGTTTGTCTCTCGCAGCATACGAGACGCTATCCGACGTCAAGAGGAGAAGAGAGTACGACCAGTTTGGCCACGGCCCGTCAACAGGGGGGGGGCATCAAGGAGGAGGAGGCGCCTACAACTTCAACCAGCACTACCAATCCTTCAACTTTGATGACATTTTCAAAGACTTTGACACTTTTGGTCAGCGACACCAACACCACTTCCACTCCCAAAACCAAGCCCACCAAAAGAGACACTTTGACAGCCACTTCCAGGCCCACCGGGAGGCTGCCAGCAGACAGAAGAGACAGGGGGGCTTCGGGGGGGGACTCTTTGATGACATGTTTGAGGACTTGGAGAAGATGTTCTCCTTTAACACGCACACTTCCAGGACTGACAGCAGGTTCCAGGGGAAGCAGCACTGCAGGACAGTGACTCAGCGCCGGGGCAACATGGTGACCACCTTCACCGACTGCTCCTGAGACCACCACCCCGACAGAGGACAGCCTCTCTTTTGTGGTTTTGAAATTGAATGCTAATTTATCACTTGGTTGAATAGAGAATGAGTTTGTGTGGCTTTGTATGTAATATCCTCTCAGAACAAATGACAAGCTGACCTGATGAAGGGCTGCCTCTAAGCAATAACTCGCTCATTATTGCTCCTCGCACAATCCATTATTTAGTTTTCCAGGTTCATTATGTTTATTGGTGGTACAATATATTAGACTCACTCAGGTATGGCCTAATGTTAATCTATTGCTTTTCTTTTTGAGAGCAATAAGGCAATAAGTTATTAAGCGCCACAGAAACATTAATTCTGCGGCTATTCAGGCCATACTATTACTGCTGTAAACTCAGCATAGTGTACTCTCAACTTCATGTTCTCTTAGTTTCCATGAATTATCTTAAACAACAAAATATTTTTGATGTATGGCACTTGCATCAAATATTTCTGTGAAAATGGAGCTTCACATCCTGAGTGGTGTGCCATTATCAACTGTTACCTCGTTTTAGGTTCTTCCTACAGAGATGCATCTACCTTCCCTTCAGTAGGAGAATGAACATCAGTCACATGACTAATGCTGGTAACTTAGCAACAGGAAGTGTGTGTCCTCTCTCAGCTGTGTTGCTGGGATGGTTCCACGCGCCTGGGCTCACTTACCGGTGAAGCTGAACGGTCTGAAAAGTTTCCTAAACTGATCATAACGTGCAATATTTAGCACCTTTGCTCTTCATGTTGCCTATCTGTCATAGACATGTCATTGTCTTATGTCCGCACTTTGTATATGCGAGTGTATGTGTGTGAGTGTGTGTGTTTGCCCACCGAGAGTGGCCTGAGTGTTGATTGGTTGCATAATGTTTGAAGAATGAATAAAAAAGTTTAAAAAGAAAATGTGTGTTTTGTAATCGGAGGGGAACAATTGGAGAACTGTGTTGGAAGTAAACAATTGGTGTGAATAATCAGAACATAAGATGAACTATTTCTGTTATATTACCATCCATCCATCTTATCCGTGGTCGGGTCTCGGAGGTAGCAGTTCCAGCAGAGCCCCAAACGTTCCTTTCCCTGGCCACATCAACCAGCTCTGACTGGGGGATCCCAAGG